TTAAATTATTTTATACTATTTTTTTTATCTATTTTAATAATTATTTGGAATGCTTGTGCTATTTTAATAATTATTATAGGGCAAAATATACCATTGACTACTCAATTATTTAGCCCTTTTATTTTTGCCATTGATCTTTCAATTTTGTCAATCAGACCACTAAACTATTTAATTGTTTCAATCAGGCTATCTGCCGTTAATAGTTAATAGGAGTGCTAACGTGACAGCTTAATTTAATCCTCTAATCAGATTGCGACATATGTCACAACATGAATGAAAGATATTTTTTAATTTAATTATTTTATTTCTCACCCAATCATATGGTGAGATTTGATGGAAAATAGATGGTAGAAAAGAAATCACAAAAAAAGGGAGCACTCGAATTTAAACCTATGCAATGTTGGTTCTTAAACCAACGCCCAAACCACCAAAGCTAGGCACACTACTTGGTATTAAAGTGCAACATATAAGATATAAAGTTAACAAATATATATCATTATAAAATAAATATTATACATTTAAAACATAAGATAATACGTTAAACACATGTATCGATCTTTAGATAAAATAAATCATCATTATTTGCTGATCATTCTTAATTTGACTATTATTTCTTTAGATAATTGGATTTTAAAAAAGTTAAAAAAGAATTGTTACTTAAGTTAAAAAATATTTAATGATTATATATATATAATTTCTTGTTAAATTTACCAAATAATTTATGCTTTCAAATAATTTTTAGTTAAAAAATATATATGAAATTATTAATAAAAATTTTTAAATTGTTACTTAAGTTTAAAAAATTAGTTTGATGATGATATATATAAATTATTGTTAACTCTATTAAATAAATTTTTTAAATAATTTCATAAATATTTTAATAAAAAATTAATATATATATATATATATATGAAATTATTAGTAAGAAAATTAAAATTGTTATTTAAGTTACAAAAGTAAATTTAATGATATTGTAGACACCTATTTTCGTTCGGACACATTTAATATATTATTATATAGTATATTATAGTGTATATATATATATATATATTATAACTTATATATTATAGTATATATATACTATATATTATTATTATTATTATATTATAGTATATTTATATGTATTGTATGTATATATCATATTTATATTTTATATATTGGTATGTGTATTATATAGTATTATATATTATTATTATTATTATTATTATTATTATTATTATTATTATTATTTTATATTTATTTATTTAATTAGTTTGATTCGATTCAGGTCCAAATCTAGTCCAAAACCGGGAAACCCATCAAGCAAAGCCCACCTGACCTAATGAAGTAAGCCACCAGACCTGGTCCAACAAGGGTAATTTGTCTGACCCAGCAGAGAAGGCCCCAACCCAAATACGCTAGGGTTTCGTATCAAGCTAAGGGGCGCCGCACAAATGAAGATCGTTAGATCAAGATATAGATCAACGGCTAGAATCATAAGAGAGCTAGGGTTTTTAAAACCCTAAAATATCATCACACCACAGTTGATCATGGGCCGTTGGATCTGCAACTAATCCAACGGCCAAGATCAAATTCCAGCTCAAGAGCCACCGATAACAGCACGTAGGAATCACGCGCTGGCGAGATTACTAGTCGGCCGAGATTTTTGGTGCTTAAAACGTAAAAATCAGAGCAACTCGAGACTAAACCATCCCGAGATCTCTAGTCAAACACACAACTAACAACCCGAGTAAATAAGATAATCGGGAAACAACCCGAATCAAATAACCGGGGAACAACCCTGAAATGCTAAAAAAATCCCAAGATGCTCGAAAACCACCATTATCGGATGAGTTATATAAACCCCAAATACCATAAGAGCAAAACAAAAGGGTAAACCATCAGAGAAGCGAAACATCATATACCGAAAAAGAAACAAAAAAGCATAAAAAACAACATAACAACAAGAATGAAGCAACCAATAAGCCACAAAAATCACAAAAACCCAAAATAGCTTTCGACTTTTAACGTTGGGAGGAGAATGGTCATAGGGAAACGAGAGATTTCGCTGAGAAAAGGTAAAACCCAAAAAGTTTTTTTTATAGATTTACGCCAATAAAGGCGTTTTCTTGATGTTTGGGGGTTGGTTTCGACCTCAGCGTGTAGAGCTCTTTCGAATGGGGTAGATTTTCGGTGGCCGGAACGACGAAGCAGTGACAGTTGGTCGCCAGAGGGGTATCCGGTCCTAGGCCGATGGAGAAGATAAAGGAGAAAGTTGAGAGAGTTTAGGGGGAGGGTGTTTTGAGAAATAAAGGAGAATGAGTTTTTTTTTTTGTTTAAAGGGTTTTATATAGGAGGGGATTCGGTGTAAATACTATTTTTTTAAATTATTTTCATAGTCCCTGATATTTTGATGTGTAATTCATTTTGGTTTCCTGTTGTAATTTTACACTGGAATTTTAAATTAATTCAATTTAATCCCTGCTATATTTTTTATATTCTTATAATTTAACCCCTAACTTTTTGGTTTATTCCTTGCAGCTTTTAATTAACATCAAATTGATCTTTGATTCTAAATTCTTTTCAATTTAGTCCTTTTTTTATTTGAATTTTCCTTTTTTATTCTTTTATTTATTTAATATTTATTTATTCATTTTTTTTATTTTACAGTTTAACATTAATTTAATTTATTTCTAGATCAGTTTTAAATTCGTCAAAGGTAAGTAATTCGGATCAAAATTTTAATTTTAATTTTTAATTTTTCGCAATTAAGACAACTGAGAAATCAAATTGGTAACGAAAGGACAGTACAAGGGTGCTAATCCTTCCTTTACTGTATCGACTCCCGAACTCGATTAATTTCTGGTAAAACAAATATCTGACAAATGGTATATTAAGGTGTCCGGTCAACCTAATTCTAAATTATCGGTGATGGCTCCAACACATTAATTCAAGTCGAAACACGATTCTGGGCCCACCAGAAGGACAGTCACGATAGCTTGGCGACTCCGTTGGGGACAGGTAAGCGAGCCAGGCCAAAATTGATTTCCAAATGTCTTCCTAAGCAAAAATTATAAGTTTGAATTACAATTTATCCTTTTGACCATTTTTATTTACCTTTGATAATTATTTATCGAATAAATAGTTGTACTAATATTTTTTAATTATTTCAGCTTTTGACCAAACCTTTTTTAAGTGGGGTGAAAGCGACGCCTTCGTGAGAATTTATTCTTCGTATAGGCTTAGCAAGTAACTTTCAAGATTCATATACTAATCTTTGTGTGAATTTATTCTCCGTACAGACAAAAAGGAATGTATCCTCTCAATATTAACTTGGTCCACATTAACTTATAACGGGCTTAGGACTGAGGGTTTGGCACGTCCAAGGGACACTAGCAAGGAGAACTCAGGTACCTTTTTTAGAACCAAAATGTGATGCTGCAAGGAATTAGAGCCCACCCAAAACTCCATTTCAAACCCTAGAATATTTTATTTATTTCCTGCTTTATTTTTGTTCAAAGCATGCAAATTAAAAATATGTGTGGTTAGGATTTATTCAAGAAAATAACATGCGAGATAGAAATCATGTCCGGGTAAGAATAAAAGTATGTGGGATAAATATCATGTAGGGTAGGAATTTTTATTTTATTATTATTTTTATTTCTATTTTACTAACTTATTTCCTTTTATTTTTTTATTTCCATCTTTATCGCTTGCATCATTTAAAGAAGTGTTGATCTACAAAAGTGTTCGTTAAAACTCGAATAGTGGGCATTAATGGACAAAGGGGTTATAATGCAAGAGGCCAAGAATGCAGAAGTACATATATGGTCAGAAAGGACTCAGAAGGAAAAAGGGGATTGTCTGCAAGATAACTATGTGTCAAATCTGGCTGGCTACGCTTCCATCAGCCTCAAACAAAATGATAATCAGGAATTGCGAAATATTTGAGACAGTTGGAAAACTGACAGAAAACAGAAGTTTTGCCAATAATATGGTGATATCACACCTGCTCTATGTCAAGATAGATGAACCTTTAATTCGGGCTCTGGTGTAATTTTGGAATACGGGGTATAGATGCTTCACATTAAATCAAGAAGATATGGTGTTCACAATTGAAGAGTACACTACCCTGTTACATTGCGAATGATTCATAATGGACCGGGTTTTCATCAAATATATCAAGAGTCATCCTTTCAAAATAGGTTGGCAAAGGTTGTAAGGGTTGATGAAAAGAAGGTAATTGATCTCGAAAAGTCCCTTCAAAGGCAACGAGAATAGGATGGAAAAACTATAGTTGAACTGGAGGTCATTGTGGACAAATTCAAGAAGCAAGCAAATGAACTCCAAATAGTTCCCTTTGTGGGCACCAATGTTATTTCCGTTGGAAACATGCTCAGCAAAGGATAAAAGCTAGAGATGCAGTCATTCAGGACTTCCTAGAGCAGTGGCACGCCACTTGCATGGTTTGGCAAGAGAAGCCATGGTAGTTCGACAAGGTATCCAACCAGTGACAGAAGAAGCAAAAAACTTGTCAACTTATTAGAAGTCGTTTGGGGTCTAGAAGATCTAGCTAGAATGTACCTTTGAATTGTTTTTGGTCTCTTAGAAATAACATTTTTGTCCCAATAATCATGAAGTGCATGTTGGGATTTCCAGTCTATTAATGCAGATTAGAATATCTTCTTGATCAGATTTATTCTTATTTCAAATGAGATGGGGAACTTGGAAGCAGCTGCTGATCGATCACGTGACACTGTGGGTTTCAATAGTATTCTTCTCTTGTCTTTTCTGCAATCCTCAAATATTAGACAACATGTCTCATGTAACCGATCACATGAGGCCAAAACCACTTGCATCTGTGTAACAAAAGACATCCTTACAACTCATAGACACTTAACCACGGGTCAACCCACGAAGACCTCTTAATTTACCCAAGTCCATAATAGCTAAGCATGGCAAAGACGGCAATGAGAATATCAAACTCATGTAATTAAACAAACGATATGGAATTATGAGCGGAACTCAAACTTGACAACAACTTGCGCCATAATAACACATTTCAAGTCCGCCTTCTCTCTCTCAAACACACTCCCTCTCGCAATTCCATTACATGATAGCTTCCTTCACACCAAAATCCACTCTCTAAGCCCTAAATTTATCCCCAATTTTCATATGGAAGCCTCCCCGTATTTCCTCAGATTCCCATCTGCCCAAGTTTCAAGCAGAATTCGGAATTCTGAAATATGATTTTATCCTCTTATTGGACGAATTCGTTTCTCGAGATTTAACTTATTCCTAGTTTCTTTGACCGATTTTTTTATCGGGATTCGGAGAGTTTTTTTAGAAAGCGTCATTCGAAGCTGATTGGAAGTGAATTCCGGTTGAAATTTGAAGGGTTTTCGGTTTCGATTCTCCGAATTGGAGTTCTTTGGACGAGCAGGGTGAGCTTGAAGCTTTGCATTATATCGTTTAGTTAATATCTAACTTTTGGAAATTAGGGTTTTGTTTCAACGAATTTTCTTGAATTCATTATTTTATGTAGAAGAGGAATGTTGTGTTTTCTTATTCAAGAAGAGCTACCCTTTTAATTTTCAATGAGTTACTGTTTCTGTATTCAAATGTGCTTGTAAAAGCAAAATGCAAGTAGCAAAATGGCGTTTAACTAAGGTGAATTCATTAAGTACAAGTCTAAGTCACATTTGTAGAACACCACAAAAACTATCATATTCTTTTGATCTTATTTTTCTAGTTTGAAGCAATAAGTTGCAAGTATAATTTCCATGCTTGATATTTTAAAAGTATTTTTTGAAGTTCATGGGTTAAGCTAGAGTTTGTTTTGATATTCTTGTAGCACCAAATACTAGAATCGTGAGTTTATAGCTAATTTAGCTAAATCAAGGTTTACGCCATTTTTTATGTTTCCATGTATTTGTACCTTGTCTTTCTCGAGAACTTAGCAGCTTCCTTGTTCGTACTTTTTTCTTAGATTTTAGTGAAGATTGAATTTTGAAGGAGCTATCATGGACCATGGGCTTTCTGATAGCAGTGGTGAGTTGAGATGAAAGTTTTGTTTTAGTTTGTTTTCTTTCCCCCATGCATTTGATGATTTTGAGGTTCAAAGAACTTGGTTTCTTCAGGCTTGGTTTATTGATGTAATATTTAGGGTTTGTAAGCCATTGCTATAAAAATAGCTTGTACTCACAAAAGGTTCCATCCTGCTTTATCTCACACCCAATTCTCTCTTTCTCAATGTTGTGATTTCTACATTGTCTCGAAGTGTTCTGCAAACCTTGGGATAGATTTTTCAATATCATAGAAGCTTTATTCAGCGAATGAGTTTTTTTCTGATCTGAATTTGCAGGAACAGATGATGATATCCCTTCTTCACATCAGAATAGGTTTCAGAGAGGGGGTCGCACTGCTGCTGGCAATGGAAGACCAGCAGTTGTAGGTTCTGCGGGAAATGGAAGATCAGCTGTTGTAGGTTCTGCGGACAATGGCAGATCAGCTTTTGTAGGTTCTGTGGGCAATGGAAGATCAGCAGTTGCTCCTTTGCCTAGGATTCATGGTGATGACATGGAAACACAACTCCATCTCATTGAACAGGAAGCATACAGTTCGGTCCTGCGTGCCTTCAAAGCTCAATCAGATTCTTTAACTTGGGTATTTGTCAATTTTTATTCAATAATTTATCCCATAAAGATTGTGTCAAGTAGTTTTAAAGCTATTTAATTTTAAACCAAATATGTTTTCCCTCTCAGGAGAAGGAAAGTTTAATAACTGAACTCAGAAAAGAGTTGAGAGTGTCAGATGAGGAACATAGAGAGCTTCTATCAAGGGTTAATGCTGATGACATGATCAGGAGAATACGGTCTGACTACACTCTGCCTTGCTCTACTGAGCAGCTTTTATTAAATATCTAATGACTTCTTGTCGTATCTGCATTTAAATGGGAGCTATGCTCAATCATTGCTGTCAGGGAATGGAGAACGTCGGGTGGGATCCAGCCTGGAATGCTCAGTACAAGTCAGCCTATTCGTGACCCTGTGCCTAGTCCTACAGTATCAGGATCACGCAAGAAACAGAAAATGTCACAATCTGTAGCTTCGTTATCGATGATTGCACCATCTCCTGCACTGCATCCATCTATGCAACCATCTTCATCGGCCTTGAGACAAGGTCCTCCACCAGCTGGAAAGGGCAAGAAATCAAAATCTGTGAGTCACTTTGTTCCAAGGAAGTTAATGAATGGAATATGCATATCCTACTTTCTCAATTTGCTGATGATGTATGTTATTTTTCTGTATCCTCAATGAAGTCGACACAGTACCCTTCCGCAGGGCCTCCTGGCAGACCGCAGGCTTCTAACCGTAGGTCTTCAGGGGCCTTTGCAATGAATGAACCTACTGAAGGAGCACCATACGATCCATTAATTGGAAGGAAAGTTTGGACAAGGTGGCCTGAAGACAATCATTTTTATGAGGCTGTTATAACAGACTATAATCGAGTTGAGGTATATTTTGTAGTTGTATATATAGTACAATGTTAATAAATGGACCTTTATAATCCTATGTTTCCATGTTGATAGGGGCGGCATGCTTTGGTTTATGACATTAATACAGCAGATGAAACTTGGGAATGGGTCAATCTCAAAGAGGTATGATTACTTCATTTTCATGCTATCTATGCAAAGTATTATTGTTTTGTATCACCTCATATACCTTGTTCCTTGAACCATATGTTTCCAGATATATGGTTTAAATAGCATAAATTATGGACTTATACTGCATTGTCTAGCTTATCAGTTAGTCAATGATCAATATGTTTTTCTTGAATTTTGGTGCAGTTTGGTTTGGAAATAATGAAATTATGGAGGTGGCAATATACCTTATATATGTTAGGATATATCTATTAATACTTATACAAGCAAGGGTCCTGTGATACAGTTTTATTTCCTTGTTGTTGATATACCTATTACTTGATTCAAGTTGTGTTACCAAGTAATGACCAATGTCAACAACTGTCTGTGCACGTCTTGGCCATTTGCTTTGTTATTATCATTCTCGTCAAATGTATTGGTTTTGCATTATATTCAGAGGATCGTGTTCATGTTTTGGAGCTATTGTACCAATGATCCCCTTTTATCATGCATAACTTTGTTCTAAGTTTGGAATATTGCAAGCTGAAGTGGTAACATTTTCAATAACAACATTTATCTTTTTTCATTACTTCCAAGAATGTCTTTTACTATCTTCTTGCTTGTGCCTTTCACTACTTCAGGCTCATAACGAGCTGTAAGAAACATAGAATGGTGTTTTATGTATCCACTTTTTGGTCACTCAAATACAATCAGAGTAAGTCCTTTGTATTATGCTTTCTTGCCACTCAACTTTTTGTTATATATATGATGGTAGATATCTCCTGAAGATATTAGATGGGAAGGTGATGATCCTGGAATATCTCATAGAGGTAGTCGCCCTGGACCAGGCCTTGGGATTAAGAAGTCCATGGGTCATGGTGGTGGGGTGGTTGGAGCAGGAAGAGGTAGGGGGAGTATAAAGGGTCAGGGTAGGAAGGATTTCCCTTTGGCGCAAAATGGTGTTGGGAAAAAGGTTTTGGGTGATATAAAGATACTACGTACAGATACTCTAATTAAGGAGGTACAATTGCTGCTCAAAGATAACCTAAATAATATTCTGAGTTTGTCAAAATATGTTGTGTAATTGTTTTCTAATTTTGGAAATTTTGATTAGGTGGAAAAAGTCTTTGGTGTAAGCCATCCCGATCCTATAGAGATTGAGAAAGCAAAGAAAGTGCTGAACGTATGTATTTTCCTCTAATGATATTCTTGTGTTCTATATCAGCTATTGCAGCAATCATGATAGGTAGTCATTATTGCAGGAGCATGAACAAACCCTAATTGATGCAATTGCAAGACTTGAAGATGCATCTGATGGTGAAAGTGGTAATAACTAACTGCATAAATTATATAATTTCAGTTAAAATAAGGATGCAGCAATCTTCTATTGTACAATTTAATTGTAGCTTTTGGATATTCAGTTTACCTGTGGCAAAGGTGTAAAAAGTTCCAATTAATTATTGTTTTACTTCCTCGTTACGACTCTCGTAAGAATGAATGCAATGCTACAAATTTCAAACTGACATGAACACCACATGTATGCCGTAGCTTCTATCTTCAGCCTGCTTCATAATTTAACTTGTTAATTAGCTGCTGTGCCTACAACATCAGCAACTGCAAGATGAACACCTACTTTGGGGGGGGGGGATGAGCTTGTGACATGTCTAAGCTTGTGTGACCTCTTATGTTGTCTTTAAACCCATTTTCTTGGGGTATATGGCTCAAAGCAAAGGTTTTATACCTTAATTCATGAAGTAAGAATGCATATTGCCATCTTAAACACATTTGATACAAATGAAACTTGTCATTTATTTACCTATTTTTCTGCAATAGATGTCCAAAACACAGTTTGGGCATGGTTTATCGTTTTTATTAATGTCTTTGGCTTAAAAGCAGATGAACATCTGTTGCTCACAAGGACAACCAATGGATCAACTAAGGGCATGGAGAAAACCACAGTTTGATGAGAATGATTGAAGGGTCTAATGGCATAAACTTGGGATTTTAGCCAGCTTTATATATCCAGTTGCGGAAGCTTTTGTACCTTGATTTATTTCTTTTCTATCAGCTAGGCTAATGCCCTTTTCATGGTGTACATAAATCTTTTTGGTTAGAAGGTTCGTTGGACTTGGTCTTCTTGTAACTTCAGCTTTACAGTCAGCTAGGAAAATGCTTTGTATAAATTTTCAAAATGCTAGTGAATGATATCCCTGACCTAGTAAAAAAATATTATTAATTTTGTGATTGCATTATCATCTTTGTCCCTGTCTTGTTCATTTGGCTGCAGTCATGTCCAGTGGGGACCCATGTTTCGATTTTTTGGAACCGAAAGGTTTAATTTCCTGCAAGTTGCAATATATATATATATATATAAACCAACAAATCCAATGGAAGACAAATTTCACAGCAATTCAACCAACCAGTCTAAGTACAGGTTGCTTGACCTTCAATGAGGCAATACATTCAAGGATTCATTTCAACATCAGCATCATAATCAAGGCCTTCCATTTCAAAGTGGCTATCTCCTTCGATCAAACGCCTTTTGGTGCAACAGATTTCAGCTTGTTACCATGACAAAGAGCTCCGGTTTTAGGGATTGCAGGATGACATTGTGGACTTGTCGAAAAAGGATCTAGGTCATCATGCCGAAAGCTACCCCAGACTTACGTATCCCACAACTTGCTCGAGTTGATCTACTGCAGAACCTGCAATAGTGTCCCTGTCAAAAGAGGATGCACCCATTTACCCCTGACCATTAACACAATTCAATGCAAATGAAAACAAAATCTATATATTTTCAGCACCAGTTCTAAGGGTCATTTAAGTGGATAGAAACCGAACAATGCATTCATAACTTAATAAAGAATTAATGTATATATAAAAGACTTTAGGAAAATATCAAAACTTATCAGACATATTCTATAACAAATCCGCAAATCCGCTCACATCAATAACTTCCACTGAAAAGGACAAACATTAACTAAATAATTTGTTCTAGAACTAGCCAAAAGTGGGGAAAAAAAGCTTTTACCTTATAGAGCTACTGTTGCTAATACTCTCTACAGTTCAATGTATCTCATGGACAAAGTCTAGGATAATTTCTGGTTGTTTTTGAATCCAAGGACGACAGATAAATTTAAAACCTCCATTTTTCTAGATGATGCAACAACTTCAGAAAGGTATGTTTTTTGAAAGATTTGAGCAGAAGATGAAGATTTTCAACAGATCATTTCCTAAAACAACTGTAACCCCACCTCTAACATCTACCATAATCATCTATAGATAGAGTAGACTAGTATTTATCCCATTTAATAAAGTATTGATCATTAATCTAGAACAACACCACTAAGCACAACAAGAAATCACAAGTAACTATGAATTCATCACTAGAATTATCAACAAGCAACCTGAAATAATTGATAAGCTTAAAACTTGCCCTATCAAATTGCATATTAGCACTTGATTAACAGGCTAGAGTTAAATCTGCCAACAATTCATGAAACAAAACTTGCCCAGTTAACTTCCATTCAATGTTACGATGAAGTTATCATGAAGAATTCAGTACCTCTCTAATGGGATCTAAATCTAAACAGATACCTAATCCCTACCCAAAACCAAAGAACAATTATTCACATAAAAAATCAATATTATTAAAAAAAACCATTGATTATATTATACCTGCAGAAGAACCCAGCAACAAGATCTCAGTAAAAGAAAGAATGAAGAAAGAACAAAAGAACAAAAGAATTGATCAAAGCAGTTGGGAGTTTGAGTGTTGTTTAGTTGGACAACTCCATACAATCAGAGGGCCACGAAGGTTTTACTTGTTCGGTAGCTTTTCAAACTAAAAAGGTCTATTTCATCTCCAGTCCCTATACTCTTTGGACTTAGAAATTTAATCCTTTTGCTTTGCTATAACAAGTTCCCAAGAGTATAATCTCTTATCTGTTTGATTTGAAAGTTAAGTTCAACCAACAACAGTGTTCATTTACTTTTGTAATGTTACATTATTGAATTAAAAGTTTTGGTTTTTGATTAACAGATCAAGTTATAACCTTTGGATTTACCAAGACTTTATCTAATAAGCACTATTGCCTGCCGTTTGACCGGATAATTTATTATCAAAGGAAGAAGAGAAGCAGTTCTAAAACCCCAAATACTAATATTATTCTCATCAAGTACATTAATACTAAAATGAGGAGACTTTATTGTATTCTTCATTGGTTAGTTCTTATTCTTCTACCATAGTACTGTAAGTTCCTAACCCAGGAATTAGTTGTTATAATTCCTGGGATTATATTAATATACATTATAATAGTCTCAATACACCAAAAAGCAACTAAATTTAACAAAGCAGCCTGAAACTCACTTGTTAGACCTACATGTTCATCAGTTGATCTGTACTCCGAAAAGTGTAATACTTTTCTCCTTTACATTACGACCCGATTCCAATCCATCTACAGCTCTATCTTCATTCAACTCAGTGCTACTAGTTTTAGTGTAATTCTTCTTCCCCAAGTTCAGCTCCAACTCCACCGCCGATGCTTCCGTCCTTTTCTTATCGCCTTCATCGATGCAACCGCTTTCGCCATTGTAATCCACATCGATGAGGAAGAAGCTTCTGCCATTTTGACTCCCACCAGGGCACTCACATGCGTAGAATGTCACGGTGTCTTTCTCGCCGAGTTTCTTCTCCTTCACGAATCGGCTCCAGCCCCTAGTGAAAACAAAGCTTTGGCTACTCCTCCAATAGCAGTATCGGAATTTCCACGTCATCATTAGATTGTCGTAGAAGACAAGTTCGATGTCTTCGACCCCACCCACCGGACTTTGTTGATCGGTCTCGCAAATGCGAGGGAAGTGTTTGACGGCGTATTTCTTGGGAATCACGAGCCTGTTAAGCTTGCCGACATCGCTTGTGTTAATTCCTTCTGAAAAAGTTGCATGCATGAGAAGTGTGTATCGCCATGCACAAGCTTTTTGTTAAGATTAGTGGTCGATTTCCCATCTTTTTTAGACAAGATCTTGACGAAATCTTCCAGCTTGGCTTGATACGAACCGTCCCTGATCATGTTCAACACTTCTTCGGTCGAATAAAGGCTCTGAAAGTCCGGTTCTTTGACGTTGAGATCGGTCCATGGGAGGTTCCTATGCGTGTCGCCGCTTCGAATCTTTATGGCCGCGCTGTCGTAAGCCATGGCTGCTTCTCTCTCGGACTTGAACGTGCCGAGCCATATCCGCTGATGGTTGGCGTATATCTGCGCACCCCAATGCCCATTTTGATGCGGCACGACACCTTTGAACCTTGCTAACGACGCACCGTGATCATTCCTGGCACGCTTGCTGGGGCGATGCTTGTAGTTGCTGTCGCCAGAATCCGAGTTTCGGCCGCCAGAACAGCTAATTTAGTGTTCAAAACGATGGTTGAATCATCTTCCACCATTAGAGATTGGTCTTAAAAGAAAATATATATGCAGGTTAGGGAAATTATAGATTCAAAAAATCCAGGAGGATAGATTTGAGGAAGAAAATGATAATGAAAATGGCAGGTTTTGAATTTGAAGATGAATTGGGTTTACCAACAATTATAATACAAGTAGGTGATTAATTTTAAACCATATATTTAACTTAAAATCCCAGGGAGTAACTTTTTTCCAGTGAAAATTGTAGGTTAGAAACCAAATTTGATCAACTTACTGAATATTGTTTGATTAACACAAGATATATAATTTAAGTTGAAACAAAATCTGTGAACGTATGAGTTTTGATCTTAATTTAGGCATTAAGATGTTGTTCAACTTAAATTATTTACTTGGCCTCTCTCTGTTGCATCCTTTTAACTATAAACTGCCGTTTGTTTTAGTTCAGTGTGTGATGTTTTTGCCCCAATGCAGACACTATATATGCCTTTTTTTAACCATATAAAAAATTCAATATATTAATCCTAAATTTACAATGTTTGTAATATTTAAATTTAAATAATATAGACAACTAACCACACGAACCGATATGAAAATAAATATAAAATTGATTTGATTAAAATAAAATATTTGAACAACTCAAAACTTTGGTTGAGATAGAAAGATTCATACCAATTGATCCAAACGGTTGGTGGTGTCAATTCATATATAACCGAAACAACCCACTATGGTTATATTTTAGGACGAATCTGTCAAGTTCGACGATCATTATTAAGCACCATTAACAATGAGTACTGCTAAACACCATTAATTTAATTTATAAAAAAGTGTAAATTAAATGGGTGGCTACTAAACTATTGCCATTTTCATTTTTGACCATTGAACTAAATTAATAGAATGTGTAAAAACTAAAGGCCAGTGACTTGATTGAAGCATTTAAATAGTTGGGTGGTCTGATTGATCAAATCAAAACATCAGTGGTCAAAATGCAAATGGGTCATAGTTTAGTGGTCACCCATGTAGTTTACCCTTATAAAAATTTAAAATTCTAAAACACTTAATGTATAATTATAAATTAGTTAAAAAAGATAATGGCGAGTTATTGAAAATAAAATATAATTATATTATTTTTCCATATTTTTTGGGTAAATTATATCATTAACCACCTAACTATTTAGTCATTTTACTTTTACCACCGATCTTTCAATTTGTCAATCAGACCACCTATCTATTTAATTATATTCAATCAAACCACTTATCATTAATATTTAACGGAAGTGCTGATGTGACAGTTAATGAAATCTTTTATAATTATGCATTTAGTAATCAAAATATTTATACAAAATAATAATTTAGTTCTAACTTTAAATTAATTCAATAAATTTAATCTCTCAATCAGATGGTGATAGTTGTCATCACTTAATTAGGTTATATTTTAAATTTAATTTAATATATTTTAACTCCTATCATAGGTGACATGTGTTCCCTTTGGTTTTAAAATGATTCAAAATACTATAAGATTTAAAATATATATTAAATTAAATAAATTTAAAAATATAAAAATCTTAAACTCATTTATATTTTCTATCATTAATTATAATATATATTAAATGTTATAATATATATTAAATGTTATAATATATATATATATATATTACCAGAATATATAAACTATTTTAAAAAGTTTTCCAATTGTGAGTTCGTTCCTAGCTGGTTACATATCTATAGTATTTCGAATCATTTTAACACCAATAAAAAGGCACATGTCACCTTATGATTGGAGTTAAAATATATTGAATTAAATTTAAAATATAATCTAATTAAGTGGTGACAAGTGTCACCATCTGATTAGGAGATTAAATTTATTGAATTAATTTAAAATTAGGATTAAATTGATAAAATATTAAATATTAAGGATTAAATATATAATTATACCAATTTTACAGCTGCCATGGCAACACTTTAAATAGTTAGGTGGTCTGATTGACAAAATTGAAAGATCGGTAGGTAAAAGTAAAATGACTAAATAGTTAGGTGATCAATAATATAGTTTATCCAAAAAATTATGGAAAATAATATAATTATTTTAAATAATTTACCTTTAAAATTTTTAACTATTTATAATTATAGGTTGAGTCTTTTAGAATTTTATTTTTTTTAAATTAAATTAATTATGCTGAGCGGTGCTCAAAGATGCTCGTCCAATGTTGTAGAATTTTTCCTATATTTTATATATAATTACGTAACTATATTCTCTCTTAAAATTAGATTTCTATATTTTAAAATAATTTTAAAATCAAGTAAACAATACGATTAAACTTCATTGTTAAACTATTAACATGAAAATTAGCGATTCAACCAATTATATGCAAAGAATAAATAAAATTCAAGAGTGAAATATACTTGTATATCACAACACCAAGGGTGAAATTTAAGAGTGATTATCAAATTTGTATTAAAAATATGATAATAGGATGGAATATCACTTTCAAATGAAGAATAAAATTCCACTAAAATTTCATGTACCAAATGATTTAATAAGTGGCATACATTCTTCTATTATGTGGATCTATTTTGTGTATAGATTCTCTGTTCACACTATGTTGACGAGTTAGTGCTTGAAATATGATGCCGTCAAGCTAGTGTTTGAAAAAACGACGGTGCCAATAAATATATTAAAATAGAATTTTATCATATCTCAGTTAGCATGTTAACGTCTAGCTGAGATGACCGTCATTTTTTTAATAGAAAATGACTAGTTTAGAATATATAAATAGCTTAAATGCACCATTATTCCTATAAATTGTATCATTTGTACTTAGTTATATCTTAAAGTATTTTTCATGACGCTTTACTTTCGAAATTTAAATCGTTACTTCATATGTTTCAAACCATTAATTTCGTTAAAAAAGGCACTGCAGTTTGTTAATTAAGAAAATTGAATCCATACATATAATGGATGTACCTTCATATATTGTTTCGTGTTTTCTTTGCAAATAAGATTTACCTTCTTAAAGAGTTGCACATTTTCATGATGAATGAGGTTCCCCTGAGAAAAAAAAAATACAACAAGTGGAGGCACAGTGTAAGTATAACAAAGGAAATGATTTTATTTTGAATATCAATGTAAATGAAAAGCCAACTAGTGGCGTTTAACACACTTTGGCTTGATTATTGTATTTTACCAGTTAAGAACTGTTCCTACAAAAGTATTTTATTTTAAATGACGCATATGAAGTTTATTGTTACCATAAGATATTGTATGAATATTTCTTTAAAAATTGTGTTTTTGTTACCTAAATGTCTCATGATTGCAGCTTCGATGTCGAGTAATAAACAACACATCCTAAGCTTATTT